TCCGTAAATTTAGGTTTCAACTTTTATTTATTAATTAAGAAAAAACTCTGGCAACCCCGCTCGAAGAAGCTGGCAATATTTTACTTGAATCAACTTATTTTTATGATATTGGCCGAGTTTTGTGGGATTAGAATATTGCTAAAAATATTTTGCTAGAATTTGTGTGTAATTAATTTTAAAAATAGCCATTGTGGCGTGTTTATTTATAATTTGTTTTGTTCTTTAATTTGTTATAATCATTCTTAGTTACAATGCGTATGCAAAAAACAATTTTTCTGCTGCCTCATTAGTCGAGTGGTCACAAGTGCGACTCGGCAAGGGGTGTCGGGTTTGATTCCCGGGTCGGGCAAAGTATTACTGGGTTTTGTAAAAATCTCATTAGTAGCACGGAGTCTGTAAATGTGCCTGGTATATAGGCTAATAGGCTCACCCCCTATAAAATAGGACAAATAACATAAAAAGTGAAAAGTGGGTGTTACATTGTACAGTGGCATTAAGTGCCATAATGTACACCTCTGCCTACCCCTTCGGAGATAAAAGGCGTGATGTTATGTAAACTTTCTATGTATACAAATTATTAATTCTAAGTTGCGGTAACAATACATATTATCCCGATCCAATTAATATCTTTCTGTGACATTAATGAATATTTTATTTACACGCTTGACTATCACTTCTTTATCTTCTAATACACTTTAGAATTTCATCAAAAAAACATCACCGAAAACCTAGAAACAAACCAACATCGTTGAGCCTATCAAATGATTTGTAAAAACAACGTCTTGTTATTTATCTTGTCCATACATCATGTGATTGGGGAACGAGCAAACAACACAATCAGTCCCTCGAAGGCATCGTATATATCATTCAGATATCAAATATCGTATCGTATCGCTCTTTTGTTTATGGTCACTACACTGGTACGTCACTAGTGACTACTTATTTAGTGACGAGCATTGTCAGTGACAGGTGACGTGAGGTGTTATTGACATGTAATATTGTGTTGTAATATAATTATGTGTTATGTTATATTCTCCAAAGAGGTATGTACTTAGCAAAGGGCAGAGGCATACAAAGTAAATGTATTGTCATTTGTTAGTGGTATATTTCATACTAGTGGTTGGAACAGTAAGGTAGTGACTTTTCAAATATAAGAACACCTTAGACTGTCGTATACTACATTTAGGCTAAGGATCTACGTTTAAAGAGAAATGGAAAAGATCCTCTTATTATTCATTTTCAAAAATAGTGTGACCGTGATGGGCTGACAGTGGCTAAAGTCATCTTACTTTGGTCACAGTTAGAGCAGTCAGGTTTAGAGTTTATTTTTTTGACGTAAGCCGGTAAACGAGCAGACGGATCACCTGATGGTAAGCAATCGGCGCCGCCCATGGACACCTGCAACACCAAGGCGTTACGAGTGCGTTACTGGTATTTTGGGATTTGGGAATTTGAGGATTGTCGAGGGTTCTGGGACTGGGAAGACTGGGAAGGGGTAATTGGGCCTCCGGTAACCTCACTCACACGACGAAACACAACGCAAGCGTTGTTAAACGTCGATTTTCTGTGAGGCCGTGGTATCACTCCGGTCGAGCCGGCCCATTCTTACCGATGCATGACTCTCCCACACTTAAATATCGTAAAATAATATCAATTTACACAGCATTGCTGTTTTATGGTCCCATAAACAAAGAAGACGCCTTAACAAGCCTCAGCTTTCAAAAAACCAAAGATTTGTACCACAAAAAACAAAGTCTCACGTCCCCATTATGACTAAAACAGTAACAAAACAAAGAAATCTATCATTGATCAGTTGAGGTACACGCGTCAATCGTCCACAGTCACACGCCACGTCACAGTCGTACACACAAATTACATTACGTATAATATTGTTGATGCGTACTCGAACAGAAAATACCGGTAATATTAGAGTGGGCCGCTATGAACCGTGAAGTCAGGGCGACTAGTGATGTAATATCTATCGATATTGTATCGAGAGAGAATCGAATGGATGTCTTATCAATGTGGTTAAGGAAGGTTGCGTAGTTGACTATTAGTTTTATTACAGTGACTAGTTCCTGGGGTGGTTGCATAGCGCAAGGTTAAGTAAAATTTTAGTTGCCTTTATTTACTTATCGTGTTACCATTGGCGCTAAGGTTATTAGGCATGCTACTTATGATTATGAGTACCTAATTTAACTTGATACAAGTTACGCAGCATCGATGGACGGTAAGCTGATTAATCTGTACAACCTAATGGATTGAATATTTAATGGTTTCATGAGAGATACAATACAAGAATATGAACTCATTTACTATTATTAGGATTAGTCATAAGCATGATGTTTTGTTACCATCTGTACCACTTTTGTCTACTAAGTTAATTTTCAACGACACAGAAGAATATAGTTTTATACTTATGTAGGTGACAAAATAATAATAGAGTATACAACCAAATAGGTTTCAACAATCCATCTTCCTTTTACATCACACAATATCCTATGGGATAGAATATAATTCTGTGGCACACATGTGTCGGACATGTTGCTAAATATAAGACGAATAGCCATTTACTTGACACTTTATTATTAGTAAATAAATAAGACACAATATTTGGGTAACACTCGTTATAGTATCGAGAACTTGTCAGTTGCAGATCAATCAATCCTTACTAATATTATAAATGGGAAAGTGAGTTTGTTTGTTTGTTTGTTTGTTCCACTTTCACGCCGTAACTACTAAACCGATTGCTTTGAATTTTTGCAGACGTAAATTTTGAAGTCCGGATTAAATAATAGGGTACTTTTTAACCCGGAAAATTTGATATTCCTGAGGGAAAACAAAAATAGTGGTATAGATGGCGCTGTGTGTTTTTGGTATATGTCACATAGGCTACTTTTTATCCATTTGTGACGCGAGCAAAGCCGCGGGTAAAAGCTAGTGTTGTATACAGTGCCAGTGGTATATAAGTACGTATGTGTGTATGTATGTAATGTTTTACTCACTGTCTATAACGATAACAGTTCACAGCTTAACAATGGGCGTCTTTTAATAAGAAGGTTTATCATAATTTCCCTGCTTTGTAGGTGGGCGATTTCAGTTTATTGTCAACTACTTTAAAACACAAAAGATAGACTTCAGAAATCTAACTGAAGTAAATTGTTTATTTGATCTTACATCACAATCACATAGAAGATTAGAATAAAAAAAATGAATTCTCTAAAAAAATATACAACAATCAAAATGAAAACCTCTTACTTACACTTTAAGACATATAATGAAATAACAGCTATAACTGTCACATTATTTCCAGTTAACCCGTCTTGGAGATGTTATCATAGAGTCGTATGATGAATGTGACCACGGTTGGGGTTACCCTGACACCACTCGTGATGGCTATCAAAGACCCCTCGTCCCGTGGGGTGTGGACAATGATGTCCATTGTAAGTCCCGCTTACATACTGACCCCTATTTGACTCGAGCTTGATAGAATCGGTTTTGTGGGAGAGTGGTGGGGTGGTTCTTAGGTTTATTTCTATGGTTTTTGTAAAACTGACTGCCTCATTGGCCGAGTTGTCGCAAGTGCGACTGCCGAGCAAGAGGTCTCGGGTTCGATTCCCGGGTCGGGCAAAGTATTACTGGGTTTTTAAAAATCTCAGTAGTAGCACGGAGTCTGGAAAAATGTGCCCGGTATATATGGCAATAGGCTCACCCCCTATTACATGGGACTTATAAATAGTGAAAAGTGGGTGTTACATTGTACAGTGGCATTAAGTGCCGAAATGTGCACCTTTGCCTACCCCTTCGGGGATAAAAAGGCGTGACGTTATGTTATGTTTTTGTAAAACTTGGGATTTGTGTTAAGCATAAATAATGCTGCACTCCGTTTTTTTAGTTATGTTAAAGTAACCCCAAGAATGCTTGAAACTGAACTTATATCCAGTCACGATACCGACTACTTCATTGCATAGCACTTAATTGGAACCTGAGACTAATTGTTTTCAACAACAACTATTCCATAAACGACACAATCAGTAAGCGAACGCCTATATAATATTAATTGCAAATAATGGGCTCAAAATCATAGCAACAATATGTAACAAATATCGAACAAAGAAGTAAAAATAGGTTACCCAAGTACTTAGAGTCAAATAAGATAAAATAACAAAGAGAGTCTGCTTTAAAACTATTACTAGAACGTCACATCGAACGTCGGCTACATTTAGGAGCCGTATCTTTTGTCTGCGCCACAAATTGGATTCATTCGGCCAATCAATACACAGCGCCCACACTTTTCTAAGAACATTTTACCTGCGACGGAACCCAACAAAATTGAGTTCCTTCTTCATTAGCTTCTACAACTTGCTAGACGAGATTTTAAAAAACTTTTTCATAAGACGTTTAGGCCCGAGTCAAGTTTTCCATCAACAAAATTAAGGTACGCTCTTAATATCAAAACTTTGTCTTAATGGATTTGGAATTTTATATTTATTAGGCCTGCGCCCACTGAGTGCACATAAAGTTATCAATTTGTGCTAAACGAAAGACTTTGCGCTGTTACAATGTGAATCTAAATGTAATGTTTGTTCTTAGTTTGTGTTGCGAACTCATTGTTCGTAGCTTTATGGTTTGTAGAGCTACCGCGTGTTTTAGGTAACAATAAAGTTCGTCGGGCACTTGAAATTGAGTAAGAATGTGATTTTGTGCAGTAATATAAGTTATGACGTCATTGGCTATGCAACTGATCACCTTTTTGAGCAATCAATCGCCATAGAACAATCCATTTTATACAGCATTGGGCACACGCCACCTCCAATTGGAAACAACGTCGCAGTTTAAATAGCACTCATTTAGCACTGAAATTATCTGGAGGGCGACAAACGACCCGCCGCCCATTAATTCAGCGGCGCAGCTCGCTGCACTTTGCTAGAAAAACTCAAAAGAATCAAACAGCATTAACCGTTTAAGTTTCGCCGGAGGCGTCGCATCGCAAAACTCACTTTTAGCTCATTAATTTTCATCTTTTCGCGTACAACCTAACATAATTCACCCTTGAACGCTCCCATACTACGTGATAAGGGTACTTTTATACTGGGCAACAGAGGAGCGCTCCGTTTTTATTAAATCTCGCGTCAAGTCGCTCGAGTGTCGACTACTGATAGCGACGCGCTGTTTATTTATAAAACAACGCTTTTTCCGCTCAAAGTGTTTCAGTTTTTTTTTCATCCGTGTCGGTGGAGCCCGTTATACGTATTGTTTTCTCCTTTTCAAATGTAGGGACGCGTTAAAAACGTCTCTGTTGTAACAAAGGGTAGGCCACGTAATGTTGACTGGCGCACGCCGAACGGTCGCAGGAAGCGGCGTCGCATTAAGAGCGGACGCAGAAAATGACTGGACATCATAAATCCTGAAGTCTTTCATTCACAAGTGATTTATATACGCCCTTTAATTGTACGTATTAACGTTCCCTTTTTTTGTTTAAATATTTAAACCGTCTGTGACGCAGCCGGAATTATGTGGCGTTATAGCGCGCGAGTTGTATTTAGGGAATCCCGGCGCATGCAAATGTACACGTAACTACGAGTTACCCTTCCCTGTATTCGGTGAAATCTCTTGATGATAATATATGCTTTCATAAACTCATGTATCACGTGTACATATGGAAAAATATGCCGACAAGTAGACGCCCGAACACATTCAGTTGTTTTTACGGCAATAATAATGTATCAATCAATCAATCGGGAGTCTGGATGTTTGGCCCGGACGTACGTACCTGCTCGCTCGTATTCTTATTACGGTCAGTGAGTTTACTACAAGTTTTTTAATCATACTTTTCGTGCGGTCTCGCAAACTTGTGTACAGACGTGGAGCCGTAATTTTCACAAGCGTATAGTGAACGAACACTGGAAATGATGTTTTCATTTATGTTACACGAACTCACTAATAAATAAAACTAATCTTGTTGTTTTTATAGTTTGTCGAAGTATTTTTCAGCGACTTTTCTCCCTATTCGTTCAGTTGGGAACTTTGTTTTGAAATAAATTGTTTTCCTTATTTGAGCGTTACATCGTCGAGATCAACATGTAGTATAATAGAACATTCATTTAGTATTTGCTTATGAGATTACGAAACATTTAGTTCAGTCAACGTTGCAGTTGTATTTTTCTTCCCTTTTGTGGAGTGAAAACAATGCAACGAGTATCTACGAGAGCTGCGATAGTCAACAACAAAGAGAAATCCTGCAACAACAGAAGTTTTAAAAGTGAACGTGAAAGTACAAAGGCAACTAATTTCGTTATTTAAATTCTCCAAAAGTTAAAAAAGCAGTTCTTATAAAGGTAATATCATTGCAAAGTTAGGTAGATTATCGGGACACTAGAGTTCCTCTCGATGATTGGGTCCAAATATCACGGCCTGAGATTTCGTGCCGAAGTGCTCTTTATTCGGAGCACCGCAAGCTTTCTCTTGTTATTCTATGCAAATTACAGGCCCCAGCCGAATGTAGACTAAACGGGCATTTCGGAGATTCGAGTTTTTATGCAAACAGACCTAAGTTATTCAAGTGCGCGCCTTTGCATGAAACTTGCATACAAAACTGGTTGAATGCGCTAACGTTTATGCGCTTACCGGCGGGCGTGGCGAGCGCGCCGCTTGTTCTATGTATTTTCTAGGAGTTCCCAACATTACTGAGGCTGTATTTCTAACTAAGTGTCGCGGTTTACCTTGATTTATTTATCAATTTAGTTAAACGGATTTTTAGATTTCATCTGTGCTTACATTGTACAAAAACTGGAATCGTTTTAACAGAGATCAACATCATCTAGCCGCCGCGAACGAGTTGTTGTTTTAGAAGACATTCAAAAAGATTCTTCACAATCCGAGGGCTGCTGTTATACTTAAATGAAAAGTAAATATTTATAAATCTCTCCAAGTTTTTAAAAAGCAAAAGAACTGGATAAAGTTCTGCATACATTTGAAAATGAATTTAGAACGAATCTCAGTTTTCATTGTATCATAATGATGTTATCTTGTGAGCATACTTTGATATTAGAAATGAAAGTTGTGCTATTAAAAGTGTTGGGAGACATTTGTGAGATTGAAAAGATTGTTAACGTACTAATCTGCCGAGTCTAGACCATTATAAACAAGGAGATAGGGATCTGGAATCACCAACTTGTATAAGATACGGTCGAGGGAACAACTGAGGAATTATAGATGTGCACATATAAGGGCGCACACACGCATAGATCTCTTACCATATATTTTTGTAGTCGTCTTAACGTGTTGGTTGGCGCGTTGCCAACACGATATGCCGTATCTTACCTAGTACCTTGATTAAATCAGATAGGTCCCGGAGTGGAAGCAAACAAACGGTAAGGATATAAAACTGGTTGATGATTCGCAAATACACTGTGTTTTATTGAGCTGCAAAATAAATCTGAGTTGACGGATAACGACGTCTAGTTCATTAGAGGCAGAGCGTACTATGTTTAGTACTGGCTCACATATATCTGGGTTAGTAGAGATTAAGATGGTTCATTACATAAAGGCTAGTATAATATTATATTATGTCTGTTAGTTATCGTATAAATAAGGTAATGCTTCGTTCCAGTTCTTGGTTTTCGGTTTAGAAATGCGTACTCAATATTTCTTTTTAAAACGTTGCTCCATACTTGGTTTTTGTCCTGTATCGTGGGTGCGTTTACAAACATACAAATTCACATACACATGACACCCAGACCCGGAACAACAATTTGTGGATCACACAAACAGATGCTCCGTGCGGTAATCGAACCGCTACATGTTGCGCGGCAGCCGGTTGCCCAGCCACCACATCAACCGTCAAGTATTGTATATATTGTATTATCTATACTTAACCAACTTTACAATAAAGATAAATAACAATTTAAATACTACTACGAATATTCGTGTTACGTCAAAGTTATATATACTAAAAATAAAAGCGACTTAATAGTATTTTTAAACATTATTATTTTAAAGGCAGCCAAGAATACACAGAGAGGTTTAATATTAAACGGACAACGACCTTCATGTTCATGAACTCCCACGCACACAATTTCTATTCTTAGCGACAAGAAAGACAATTCTATTTTTAAAACTTTAAATATCGGTACTTACTGGTCAGTATTTAATACTTTTTAATTAGAAGTATTATGAATTATACAACGAATTTCTCATAGCTAAATTGTTATGAAGTATTTTATTTAAGTTTTATAAGGTATTTTAAGCTGTCAAAGAAAGTGACGCTTACCAAATTAAAAATTATTTCGTATTATGTTTATTCACACTGTATTTATATATTTTACGTGTAATAATGTAAACCATATCTTATGGAAAAAAAGTCCAAAGAAAATCGGTTACTTATACAAAGTAATTCGCATTTTAATGTTGGTTGGCGTCCATGGCATAGATTGGCGTACTAACGACTGAATAATTACACAATGATCCCAATTACAAATGCAAAAATGAGGATCTTGGATGCATACGAAATGCGCCCTTATGCCGTGGTCCAAATTATGGGAATATTTTTCCTTATGACTTCTTTCCGTTATTTTTTGTTTTGCCTTCGTGATGGCCGTCACAACTGATTAGGGGTTAGTTTAGCTTATTACTGTCCTTATATCTTATATTTGTCTTAATATATATTAGCGTAGCATCGTAAATGTGTTATGGAGATTGATGTTACTGATTACTGATTACGTCAAATTGCTTTATGCTCGTTTAAAATACATAAATGTGTTTTTATTGAATTTGGTTTGTATTTTTTTTTCTATTAGTTGGGACTGACGCTTGCCTATTATCTCGCCTGGTGGTAAGCGATGATGTGGCCTACGATGGAGCACGTCGACCCATAAGCAACCTATAACCTATTTTTCAGTAGCACTGAAAAATATAGGATCGAGATGCATTAATTAAGTAATCAAATAACTTCTATTTAAAATGTAAAGTACACAAGCGGACTGCTTTAATTTCCGCGCAGTTATTCACAAGTAAGTTGGGCCGCGGCCGGGCCGGGCTTCGCAAACATCCCGGCGGTAATGACTGGACAAACAGACATCTGCATACGGCCTCCGCCTGAGAAATGCCCTTCAAGCCTCCACCGCCATGCACTTCCACTGAATTTATTAACGGCCTCCTCTCCCGGAATACCATTAGTATTTTTACGAATTTTAGACAAAAAGGATTTTTTGTATTTTTCGGATTTTTAGGCAAACGTTCCACGAAAGTGCTGTTAGCAAGTTTCGGGGACCTTTATGGAAGTGGCGTTGAGTAGTTCGGGGGATTTTATTGAAAGAGCTCTTGTCCTACATTTTTGTGTTCGACGTGCTTTTGTAGCGTAGATTGTTTTTTTAGTGATTTTGATAAAGGTTTGTAATATAACATTTAGTTATTCTATTGACATTGTTTTTAAGTTTACTCTATGATACTTCCTATTGGTTGATATTGAAATGTAATAAAAACAAAGTTTTAATTAAAATAATCACGAGTTCTGTATCGAAGGTTAAATTGATTACTATGAATAATTCAGCCCGATCGCCGTTAAAAACATCAATAGGTATTATTGCATTCACAAATGTGACTGACTATGACTTATACAAAGGTTTTAAAAACAAAAGAACTTTAGCCTAATTTACTCACAAAGCACTATCCAAAATATGCACCGTATCTCACACGTTCGATTTTTGAACGCAAGCGCTATTTTCGTTCAATATTACCATACTGAAACAAAGTTGTCTTTTCCCTTTATTTTGCAAGTGATGATATTTCGCTGTGGAAGCGTGCCGTCGTGCCGGTCCGTGCCGGAGAGCCGGAACTCTAATCAAGGCTTCGTCACGGCGGACAGGCCGTGCCGGTCCGGTGTCTGCGGCCGGATAGCCAGCTAACCTGAAATGACTGGCGAAATTTGTTTCTTTGGCCTCGTGTGTGATTTAGGTTGGAGGCGTGTTCGTTTGATGATTGGACTGTGGTACGCACAAAGATATGATGAAGGGTGTCTGCT